ATAGCTAAAATCAATATTTAAAATTTTATTAAAAAATTTTAAAATTTAAAAAAGTTTGCAGACAAATTTGGCTGCAAGACAATTTAAGGAATAGGTTTGGTGTTTTTAAAGATAGTATTGGTGATTCTATATCTCGGATAGCATCTTTTACTTGAGTGAACCATCGTGGTATTCTCCCTGGTGGGATTTTGTTTATGTTGTGGTGAAATTCAATCCACTCTAAAGTTTTATCAGTATTAAAGTTGAGAAATTGCTCAATTGCCTCAATATTGTGTTTGTTCAAGAAGGACTTAATATAAGATGGTCTTGGCATTGTCTTTAACAATTCATTGATAGATGTGCCCCAAATAGTTCTTGAAACAGGCCACTGGAAGTAGTGTTTATAATTAAGCTTCTCAGTATGTATTAACTTTATCATCTGTACCATAAAGAAGTTTGCAACCTCCATTAGGAAGGTGGGTTCATCTATTAGAATCAAAGTATTCGTTAATGCTTTGTTTTGAAGATTTTGTAGGTGAACTTTTATGCTAGACGAGTCAAAGTTCTGATTATTCAACAGTGTGGTCATAATTCGAATGTGTTGTTGTTTCTGTAGATCTGAGATATTCTGAAGTCCATATATCAGCGGGTGAAAGAGCGTTAAGTCTGGTACGGAGCGTGCTAGGTTTGCTTTTTGTTTTACTATATTTACATAACTGTGTAGAATTTTTTTACACAAAGAGCAGGGAAGGAAGGTGTTTTGCAGTCTGTATCTCATTTTGGCCAGTATAACTGTATTTATTATATATATTGCTTGTTTGTCTGTAATTATGGAGAATCTCAGTTTCTTCAATTCTAGATTTGCTTCTCTAGTGATCATCTTATATACAGTACATTTTCGTTTGGACCAATTCGAATAAGTTCCAAGAAACTTCAGCATTTGATCTGGTCCTATTTTATTGATATCAATATCTTGGAACTTAATTGGATTTAAATCTTTGTTACTGTTATGTGTTAACATAGATTTAAGTGGGTTTATAGTGATGCTAGCGAGTTTATAAAAGAATGCTGCCACTTTTAGAATTTCCTCGAGTTGTAATCTGCTCTGTGCAATCCAGATAGTATCATCTATGTAAGCTATTACAGAAGTATTTAGGCCTTCTTGACTCTCTTTCTTTGGAATGTTAGTGGACATCTAATAACCTGTAAGCTCCTTATTAATGCGGCTTATTAGGGGGTTGTAGTAGATACGCCAGAGTAGTGGTGACAAGATCTCACCCTGATCTATCCCGTCCTCGACCTAATATAGACCAGTTCTACCAATGGTTGTTAATACCTGGTTTTGATGGTTGGAGAAGCAGTTAATTATTGTGTTGATAATTTTGGTTGGCAAATTTATTCTTTCTAGCGCGCATCATAGTAGTGGCAAGTGTACTGTATCGTATACCTTCGACATATCCTGTAATAGAATCTATAGTTCTTTCTTATTCATTTCTGCATCTTCTCTTAACTGAGCTAAACGCTAAATTGGTTCTAGGGTTGATGTATAAGGCAGTGCTACATTATTTGATGGACCTAGTATTTGATGGCTAGTAAAGATTTTATTCATACGGGTTGTTAGTATTTTAGTGAACACTTTGCGAGGATGTTCAATTAAGGTTATAGGGCAGGTCCGTCCCATATCCCCTTCCATATGTGATGTTTTTGCAATTGGCCAGACCAGACTATGTTTCCATATCTTTGAAGTATCTTCTAGTAACAGACATTGATTTAAAATGTATAGCAATGCTTCAAGAGCTGCCATTGGTAGTTTACGTAGCATTTCGTTGAAGATCATTGAGGGTCTTGTTGCTTTACCTAGTGGTGTATTACTTATTACTTGCTGCATTTCGGATATAGTTATAGGCTCGAGCAATTCCTTAAAGATTCCGGGTGTTATACATATTTTTGGTTTGTAGTAGTTCTCCCAACTAGGCCATTCCTGTAGATCGCTTTTATTTAATTTGGTCCAATTCTTAAAGTGTGCTTTGACTGCTTCTTTGATACTATTTGGTTCCATAATAATTTGTGATGGAGTTACGATATTATAGTATGTTACTTGTTCCTTGCTCTTTCGCAGGATACTGTTTATCATCACAGAGGTGTTAGATGCAAACTTCTCATATCTTTGCTCTACAAAGGAGTTTATTCTTTTTTTCTTCTTTGTATTGTTCTCCATTATTCATGCAGTAAAGGCTATGTTCCAAATTTGTTTTAAGGACTGCAGTGTATTGGCATATTGGGAACCAATAAAGTGTGTACTTATAACCAGTGATGTAGGAATTCCTGTCAGGTCACTTAGGGTTTTCAATTTCTTATTTATCTGTGATATCGTGTAATCAGGTGTAAGTGGTGGGTGAATTGACTTGAATAATGCTAGAGTTTTATTTGCTACTTTTAGTCCTCTATGCAATTGAGTTGCCTTAAAGGAGTGTGCATGAAACACTTTTGGTGCAGTAATGGTGGATGGTATATTATCTTTAGCTGCTTGCTTCACTATACTATACCAGATGTTTGTATAGCGGTTTAGAGATTTTCTATCATTAATGCTAAGACTAGAAATTGGAGAGCTTTTCAAATTTTCCCTGATCTGTTTAGTGAATTGCGTCCAGTCATCTTCTGTTGTTGTATAGATAAACTTTGCACTTTTGTTTTTTTGTTCTTTGCTTACTCAGCGTTGATAACATATACCATTCAGTTAGGAGAATTTTATGATCACTCCTGGTTGTATAGTCTGCATCTATTATTGCCAAAGGTTCAAAAGCTAGTGCAATTTCTGGGTTCACCCAAATATCATTAATTTGACTTTTCATCTCATTTCTTTCCCATGTTGGTTCAGTGATACATATAACTCCAAGAGGCTTATCATACCAGATTGGTGAAGATGAATAAGAATAGACACTACTCTAGGTTGGTTTGGTCGGTTTATATTGCTATTGAAGTTCCCAGCTACTATCAGATCTAGGTGTGCCACTCTAGCCTGTTAAATATATTGTGCTGCTTCTGCCTGGGCTTTATTGGATATATTTGTTGGGGCTAATAGAATATATATTGCAATTAAACGTAGTTGTTGTTTGTGAAAGAATTGGAAGTTAATCATTAATAGCAAGCCTGGGGTTGTTTTAATATTCCTGATATATGGTCTAAGGGAGGGTGTAATGCCAATGGCAACACCAAGGCTTGCCTCTCTATTCACTGCATAGTCAACATCATTATTAGCTGTATAGATTTCATACAATGGGTTGGAAAGGGTCTTTCTAGATGCCGTGAATTGTAGTAGTTTAGTTTCAGTCATAACAATGATTTGGATCTCTTCTTCATGACAATATTCGAGCCATTTTTGTAGTTTTATATCATTGTTAAGACCTTGAATATTGTAGTTAATTATTTTAATTTTGTCGATTGTATTTTGTCGATTGGTTGTTTTGTGTGGATTTTTGAGTTGAACTGTGAGTCTGGTGAGTTGTTGTTTGTATTCATACAGGAGGAGAGTAGTTATTAAAAATGTCCCATTGGGGTTTGGGCAGATCTGGAATATTAATAATGTGATTAGGTATGTCTACAAAGTTAAAGTGTTCCTTTAGAAAATTGACTGTGCATTCAACTTCTTCTTGCTTAGTTATTGGTAAGATAAAGGATGATGGCTTTTCTATTAACTCTAGTTTTTCCAAAATTTCCTCTACTGTTGTTGGCAAAAGAGGTGTTCCTGGCAAAGTACCTGTCCCGGGTATTATTTATATCTATTCAGCAGGGATTTCACGAAAAAAGTAGTGTTTTTTTAATGTTCTGGCTATGTCTACTAGCTGTTTTGGAGATGTTATAGGGACTGTTAAATTTGCTAGTTTTATCTCTTTAGGGTTTTGGGCAACAATGGCTTATCAGTAGGATTGGCTGTCATATATTGAAGTGGCAGAGGTAAGCTATATTTGTAGGTTGCATGAATTTCAGCCACAAATTTCTTCATCTTTGTTGTGTCTCGTATTGGAAATTCATATTGCCCTTAGACATTGATCTGCAGAGGATCTGCTAGTAGTGGAATTTTTTGTACAAAGTAGTCATTTGGCATTCTCTTAAAACCGTAGTGTTCTCTCAACATATCTATATAATATCACAGCTCTGTGTTATCAATGGGGTTGCAAGGGAAGTAGCCCCAAACTGCAGAGTTTAGCTCCTGTGGTGTTGAGAAGAGTTTAGATTTTGCTGATGGAAGTTGAAAATAGCTAGGTGGCATTTTTTCTACATCATAGAACTTTAATAGTTTTTGTTTGTACTGTGTTAAGTATGGGAGACTTGCACGTTTAGTGATCGGAAACAGGTCTCGAACTTCTGGTTGTAGCTTGCTTGGGTCCTCAGGAAGCTCTTCAAGAGGGTGTTCGAAGTATGAATTGGGTAGCTTTATGAAATGATAGACTTTTCTTAGTGCTAATACTATAGCTCTTGTTAGTTTCGGTCTACTATCAGGAGTGAAAATAGCATAATTTTCATTATGTCTTCTCTAATTTTTTGTGGATGCTCAGGTAATGGAATCAGTAAACGGGTATGGATGGATTCAATTTGTCTATGTACATCCTCAAATTCCTGATCACATTCAATCCTTGCGAAGTTTAGAGCGTAAAATATGTAGCAGGTACAATCGTGAGGACTTACTAATAAGAAGTCAATATTGCAAATAAAGTCAATTGCCAGTTTAATTTTGAGCTTCTGGAAGATCTGATCTCTATTTGTTTTGTTAATAAAGGTTGCATTATGAAGTCTCTTGTATCTTTCGATTGCCATTTGGAATAGACTATTGAATTCTTTTTGATAAGCAGGTTTTGTATCTTTATCTTTAGAGAAGGTTCGAAAGAAGGCAGTGTTGAGGTGCTTAAACTTCTATGCTATTGTAGGTGGTAAATTGTGTTGTGTAGGCTTTTCTTTGATTTTATGTACCCAGAAGTCGTCTAATAATTCTTTGTCTCTGAACACCTGAATAATCTTGTCATTGTGCCAGGTAGTAGTGTCGAATTCCAGTTCACGTAGCTTAGCTAGTGTTTGTGCAACTGTATTTGCCCATATAACTAAGGTTTTATCTTTGTTCTTCTTTATATTTTTTTTTAAGCACATTACTGTATGACATTGGTGGCTGTGACTCTATTGTTGCATTAGATTGTAGATCTATTTCCTGATTAGTCTCGTTATCTGGCAATTTTTACAGGGGGCCCTGTTGTGTCCAGGTAATCGGGTTCTGTGGCTGATAGACACTGTGGAAATATTTATTCTCTTTTTCTAAATTTTCTCCCACGATTGTTGTGGCTTCTATTTTTGGTGTTACACTGCATTTTGATGGGGGTAAGCTAGAATCCCTACTTTGTGTCTGTGTTGTAGAAGCATTTTGATTGTCAACAAAGATAGTGTTAACTGGGTGGGTATCAGTTTCAACTAGTTCTACTGTTCTGGACTTTTTCGTAGATCTTGTCTCTGTGTTAGCCTCTGTTGGTGGTAGTTCAGTAGTTTCATCTGATGTCCTACTTGAGTCTATCAGATGAAGGGGTAGCGTTGGGTTAACTGCAAAGAAGGGTTCAAAGGCTGTATAGTGTATAGGTCTTCTCCTTTTCACTCTTTTAGTGTTGACTTGGTGAGAGCTATTTGCCCGAAGGCCCAGTATAGTTTAGTTTTTTAGTTAAATTTGACACTAATGCTACTCGGTATACACTTTGTATACAAATTTTATTTTTATTTAATAAATTGGGATCTACAGAAAAGAGTTTTTTTTTTTTAAATTTTTACTAATAAAATGTGCCTTTATATTTTAAGTAAACGTGTTCAATATGAAAAACTACATTACTATAGTATATGTTTACTTTACTTTTCTTAATATATTAAATAAAGATATGTAAAATTGTATTTTTGATAAAAATTTACCAATTTTTATTTAAAAAATTTAAACCATTAAAGAAATATATGCCAAAATGATGTATTTTTTAGTGCTGGACAGGTTTATTTAGAGCTTAAAGTTACAATCTATTAGTAAAACATTGAGTGATTAAGAATTTTCTATATTTTTATTAATAAAATTATAGAAGATTTTGCATTATGTAAATATTTACTAATATATTATATATTTAAGCTTTAAGTAATTTTGTTTAACATTAAATTCTACATCATTTTGGTACAAAGTTCTTTAATTTTTAAAATTTTTTAAATAAAAATTAGTAAATTTGGTAAATTTTTATCATAAATACAATTTTATACATATTTACTTTATAAATTAAGAAAAGTAAAAAAAAAAATGTATACTGAAATAATGTATTTTGTGATATTGAACAACTTTACTTAGAATGTAAATACATATTTTATTAGTAAATTTTTGTGTAATAATAAGTTTTTTATATTTTTATTAATAAAAATATAGAAATCTTAGTATTACTCAAAATATTACTAATAAAGTATGACTTTGAGCTCTAAGTCAGTATATATTTATATTTTAAACAAGTTTAGTTAAATATAAATTACAATTGTTTAATATAGATTTAAGTTATATATTATATATAATATATATGTGTAATGTAAGATATCTGGCTAATACCCTCTAGGATATTACGTAATATTTGTCATAGCTCTTAATGCAACCTATTATTTTTTTATAGCAGAAGCATCTTTTTAAGTATAAGGGCTCATCTTTTTAAGATTAAGGTTTTATCATTTATTAGAAAAATCTGGGGTTTTGACTTTTATTAGAGGTTTTGTCTTTCATCATTATGTGAAAAAAGTTTTATCTAACAACTATATATTCATTAGCTAATTAATATGACTAAACTGATTTGTTACAATAGTACAGTATAATAAGTATTTATGTTTTAATTTTTGAACTATTGAGAAGCATGCCAATAAAGACCATTATCCGGCAGCTTATTATGATTGTGCTGCCAAAATAACTCGAGTTATTTGGCAGTAATACGTCATCTGCCAAATAACTTCATTATTTGGCAGTTTATGTAATCACTGCCAAAACTCGAGTCATTTAGAAGCACAATCGTCATAAGATACCGGATAATTCCGTTATTGTATGCTACGCTAGCCAATAACTCCTAATGAATTATTTTACAAATAATTCGAGTTATTGGCTGCTTCACATCCAATAACTATATATTATTACGAGATCAGATATCTATTAGATTACATATTAAATTTGTCAGTTTAACCTTTATAGATTTTTTATCTTATCATCATTATAGCATCGTTAGATACAAGTATTTTCCAGTTTGTATTGTGATTATATATCAATATGATTCTAAGATTGTTAAAATCAGATTATTGGAAAATAAGTAAAGAAGTAATTATATGTTTCTACCTATAATCTGTAGCATAAGAAGGGCATTTGTTTTTGTTAATACAGGAATATATAAGAGCTTTTTAGTAGAGAAAGCAATTTTTATTTTTACTATTGCTCGGCTTGTAGTTAACGCTGACTCTATCATCCCCAAATGAAGAGCAACGCAAAAACCTTATATCTAGAATTAGGTACCACTATTATGATAGCAGTGTAAGATTATCATCATATTAGTTACGTTTAGTGAGTATTCTTCACTGCTACAATAACAGTGCATGTTTGGCAATTAGGTATCATAGCCATGATATTTAGTTGCAAATAGCAGTGCAAGAGCCTTATGCTTAGTGATTGGATTCTGTGGTTTGGTGATTAAGTTCTGTGCTATGATTGTATTGCAAGAATCTCAGGTTGTGATTAGGCAAGAAATTTATATTGGACCTATAGATAAGCATATTACTATATAATTCTTTTAATTAATTCTTGTTATAGCTATATAACTTCTTTGCTATATTTCTATGTGAAGATACAATAATTAGATTACAGGATAGTTTCTAAATTTGTAATTTGCATAAAGCAAATAATTAGTTTAGATGGAAATCCTTTAGAGTCTAGATATAGAGCTTGTGATTAATAACAAACAAAATCTTTTCTTTCTGTATAAACAAAGTTATCTAATCGAATTTCACTAATTAATAATAAATGATCTTCATATTTACAACAAACTCTTATTTAAAAAAATTTAAAATTGAAGTTTAGATTACTAGGTTACAAAAGGTTAATTAGTAATATAAAAAAAAAACAAAACTAAGTTTCTAAACAACAATATTCATTTAATTATCTGGCTATTTGAAACAATAAACTTTAGTAAGGTTTTTTTTTTTATTATTATTTAAAAAAAATTTTTTTACTATAAAAAAAAAAATGCTGTACAGCCGTGTCACTAGTTACTATCTCATAATATGAAAACCAAGTATATAATTTTGTGTGGCCTAATAAAAGTTTAAAAATTTTTTTCTAAATTTTTTTATTATAAAATTTTTTCTTTAAACTTTCCAAATTTTATATATTTTCACCTATTAAAAAAATCTTTACTTCTAATACAAGTCTTAATTTTTACACGTTAATCACTAAAAGTCAAATAATAAAAGTTGTAATCTTTAATCTAAACTTTAATATTGTATTAAGAATTATATTTTTAAAATCAATATTTAAAGAGTTTGTCAAAAAATAGTAAAAACTTTTTTGACTAAAAAAATACTTTATTTTTAGCTTATAAGTAACTTGAAATTTTTTTCTTATAATATAAATATAAATACTATAAAAAAATAATCTATATTTTCAAATATTATTATATAAAATTTTATTTTAAGACGATTTTAATGCTTACCAGAGGTGAAATTTACTGGGAGTGCTGTATCTCAAAAATGTACTAAGTAAATGAGATCAGGTACTCTAAGTAAAAATGTTTAGAACCTCTGAAAACCTCACAAGAACTGAGATCGGGACCTTTTATTAGCTCTATATTATTTTATATAAAAAAAAAAATTCTTAATACCCTAATCCTAACCCTAACCTAACTCTAACAATTTTTAGGCCGGTGAATTTCACTCTTGGTGAATTTTAAATAAATTTTTTATTTTAATATTTTAAATATTAAAAAAAATAAATTATAATTAAATTTATACCATTTTTAAGCTAAAATTGTTATACAAACTCTACAGCTTAAGGGATAATAAATAAAGGTTAAAAATACACTATCCTGTTTGCCTTCTGCTATGAATATTTAATTGTACTCCATATTTATCTCATATATATTCTAATAGCAAGATCTCTGCACTAGGTAACCTTGTTACCATGCTATATAGTTACAAGAAGGCCATAGTATTGTAATACTACTATTTAGAAATAGTTCTTATATGCAGTAAATTCAAAGTTTATCACTTACTACAAGGATAGTATTTATTGTTTAGAAATTGTTCTCATATGCTACTTGCTAACAAGTTTAGAGTTTATTACTTACTAAAAAAAAACTTTAGCTTTGAGTTAAATATATTAAATATATATTTTTTAAAAAGCTCTTCTTAATATAAAAATCTGTTAAGTAATTAAAAACACAACTCTTTCTGATGATCATTTGTACCAAAAATCCAAATACATTTTTTGTAAAAAACACAATAGCACTTAGTAAAAAATGGAGGCATACTACTAGCTATAAGTCGGCAGTTGTTATTTAGAGGTAGTTCTCATACGCTACCTGCTAACTTCTTCAGAGTTTATCACTCACCACTTGCACGACACTTGTCATTTAGAAGTAGTTCTCATATACTACTTGCCAACAAGCCCGGAGTTTATCACTTACTGAAAAGAAAGTATAGGTGTCTACCCCTTTCTTAGAAGAATGTTAAGAAGTGGTTGAGTCTTTACATGGATGTAACTACTTTTCTTGGATACAAGTAGTCTCTCTCTAGGTGTTTTTCGCTTGGCCGGTCTTCTCCAAATTTTTTGACAAAAAGTGGGTGATTTGGCTTACTCTCTCCAAAAGATCAGCATTGTTTATCTCCCAAATTCAGACGTACCCAGGAATGCAACCACGTGCCTTGTTTATCAGTGGATACGACACGCGACATAATCTATGGATACGGGTTCTCCACGTGACTGGGATCAGGTCTCTGGCATAAGAGGCATCGGTAGTCGGATATTAAGTTCTTATATTGTAATCGAGATATACAAATGTTGTAGTTGTTATAAAATTTTTCTTAAACCTGGCACGAGTTATAATAGTGCATTTTTTTCTTCTTGTTTTGTTTTTTTTTATCTCATTCTCCTTATACTATTTCTTTATAAAGGTAGTTCCCCCCTTTGTCAGCCCTCGGGCTTTTCTCTTTGTGTTTTTTTTTTTACATCTCACTTTACCCTCCTTTTTTTTCCTTTAAAATACCCCTTCGTTCTATGTGTTGTTTTTTTTAGTTAGATTTTCATTTTGTTTTCTTGATAGTATTGGTAGTTTTGTATAAGATCATTACTTTCTTTTGCTCTCGGTAAAAAAAAGAGATATGAAAGGAAAAGCTTTAACGGGCTGACAAAGTTTATCTAACTTGTATACAGATTGGTGTGACAAGTTGCATATGGGCACGTTTATCGCAGCCAGATGATGTCAAACTTGCTATCATGGTAACTTCCTGTTTGTGGTTATGAATGATAAATGTATTGTTCGAGAGAGCTCAGCTTTCATCTAAATATAGTTGTATAAATTGAATACTGACAAAACTGCCAAAGATTTAAAAAAAAATCTGTTAAGTATAAGAAAAATAACTACACTACTATTATTTATTCTCATAACAAAAAAACTTACAAAAAGTAGATAAAATAGCTTGTTTCTATTAAAAGATTAGTATTGTTTACATAGCTTAAATTTGGTTAAGAAAAAAATTGGACCCTAGTTATAGTATTTTTAAAATAAAAACAGACTCTAGTTTATTTTGTTGGCAAATGAAATATAGCCCAAAAGTTAGATTCTAAGTAGTTTCCTGATGATCTCTGAAGTTAGTTATAAGATTAAAAGGAAATATTTATAATAAGATATACTGTAGCTTTATATTAGAGATATACAAATACTATAAATCTCTGAAAATAAGTACTATTTTTTTAATTAATAAAGGTACTTATTTACTAGTTATTTGAAAACAGATAACATGATTGATCAATTTTATGATTACTGGATAATGCAATTTCAAAATTTATTTAACAGTGCTTATTTATAGAACATAAATTTTTGTTATGATGGTGCTTATTTACTGTATGTACTTATTTTCCGAGTTTTATGGTATTTGTATTTGCTATATAATTTTTATTAGGTTATAATAGTGCTATTAGAGATTTTGATTTTTTTTATATTTTTCTTTTTCAAAGTCTGTTTTTTTTTTTTCTGGTTTTCCTTTTTTTTGGTTGTATTTATAAAATATATTTTTAAAATTTTCTTTTTTTTTGTCTCATATCTCTTGAGAAAAAGAAAAAATTAAAAGGAGAAGAAAAGATTCTAATATAATATACAACAACTTGTCAATAATTAAGAAGAGTATCCTTGTATAATACAAAATTCTTAGTAAGTTAAGAATTCTAAAAAAGACTAATAGTTGTTATAGCAAATTATTCTTCAAGTTAGTATAGCAAGTACCTTATCTACTAAAAGAAAGCCAGGTGATATCATATTTGTAAATTAGGAGTAAACAAGTGTATTATTGTAGCAATATATTTAATATTTTAATAAAATATTAGCAAGTAAAAAAAAAAAATAGTTGTTATGGCAGATTGCATTGAGCAATTTGCTTAATGAATTTTTATTAGATTAAAACAATACCTTAAATATAATATAATTTGTATAGCTAGCAGCCAAGAAAATATGCAAAAAACAATTGATATATCAAATGAGTTTTATGAGTTGAATGATATTGAAATAAATCCAAACAAAACTGAACTTGTAGTTATAAAACCGAGTAAACAAAAAGCTACCAAGGATCCTTATATTTGGGCAGACAACCTGAAAGTGAAAATCCTGGCAAAGAACTTAAAGAAGTCTACTTGCTTTTTAGGAGTCTAGATATCAACAAAAAATCAGAAAAGATCAGATATCCACAAAGCAAAAAAAAAGGTAGCCAAGACAACAGATCTTTTTAAATTCAAAAAAATATCTCTTAGTCAGATTATATACATAAACAATATTTTACTCATGCTAATTTTAGAGTATAGACTTATGATCTCTTGTTTAACCAAAGCTTAATATAATAGAATATACCAACCTACAGTGTGTCTGACTAAATGAAAGCTATCAATACCCTCAGCAGCAACAAATACAATTCCAAAATACCCAGAAATAGTGAATTTCAAAAGTTTTTGAAATAGATATATAGAACATTACTTCTTAGAACTATTAGTAAAAATAAATGCAAAAGAGTCTATAGAAAAATTTACACTAATGAGACTAAAGCAAGGACAATTAAAAATAAGCATGACCAAATACATTTTAATGAACCAAGCACTATATAAAACTAAATTAAAAAACCTGGGTTTGCAGATCTTATAACAAGCAAAGATACTAGGCTTCTTGATAGAAGAAAATGATTTTACAAAAAGCTAGAACTCTAAGCCTCT